AGAGGTTTGGCTTTGCCTACTTTTTAAAATGTTTCTAAAATGACTTAGGCAAATGTTATTACTCCGAGCAGCAATACGGCCAGTGTGAACCTTTTTGGAATGTTTCTTTTGAATAAAATCAGTCACTTTCTGATAATACCTCAAGATTTCCTTTATCGAGCGAGATCCTTCCACGACGAAGCAAACACGCGGACTGAGACCAATGAACAGAAGTGAATAAAAAGTGACGCTGCGAACTAATGTAATGTCGTATGGTGAGTTTTTGTTCGTATCGTGGAACAAAAATATGTTCGAATTTCATGTCGTATCCTGAAAATTTCGTATGCTGGGGCGTTCGTATCCTGAGGTACCACTGTATATATATCAAAATATTAACGAAAACTTCTGAGAGGCCAACCCACGCCTGAATACATTGACCTGACTGAAGTGGCTAATACATGAAATGCACTGCTGGCCATTAAAATTGCAACACCAGGAAGGAGTTATTGTACGAACGTCAAAATCATATGAAAGGAAGAAGAGGTTGGGATATGCAAACAATTAGTATTTCAGCACATTTAGACAACACAGGAGAGACAAACGACATCTGAAACACTGCATAAAAGAAAAGTTGTGCAGTGGATTTCTCATTCAGAAATTGCTTTGTAAGGTCGGGGTTTCATCAGAATATTGTGTTATGCCTCGAATAAGAGGAAGAAATGCTTACCAGCAAGTGTAGGAATTTGATAGAGGCAGGATCGTTGCCTATCAAGAGTGTGGATTATCGTTCCATGATATTGCCACTCTCACTGGTCGAAATCCAACCACTGTCATGTGAATATGGAATTGATGGATTGCTGAGGGTCTTACTGAACGGCATGCAAGATCTCAACGCCCTCCCATGATTAATGCCCGAGAGGACAGACATATTGTGAGGTCAACCATGCAAAACTGTACAACTACATCACGGACCATTAGTCAGGAAATGAGCTTGTTTCAGCATGTCCAGTATCCATTCGTATGGTGTGATGACATTTGCAGCAGCGTGGACTGTCGGCATAGTGACCATTACTTTGGCTTCCCTTGACAATGCAGCAGAGAGAGAGACGATGACTCTGGTGCACCCAACAACAAAGCTGGATACAGGAGTGGCACAATGTCATCTTTTCAGATGAGTCCTGGTTCTGCGTGCAGCATTCTGATGGCCATATACATGTCTGGAGGCTTCGAGGAGACCGCTCGTCGCCTGCTTGCATTCAATATCGGCAAAGGGGCCCTGCACCTGGTGTGATGATATGGGCAGCCATTGGGTACATGACATGCACATCTCTAGTTTGGATCAACAGTAATTTGAATGCAGATTGGTACATTTCTGACATCTTACACCCAGTGGTTGTGTCCTATCTTCGAGGCCTGCAAAATGCCATCTTTCAACAAGATAATGCAAGACCTCATATTGCACGTCGTGTTCTGACCTTCCTCAATACAGAGGGTATTTGATTGTTGCCCTGGCCTGCACGGTCTCCAGATCTCTCACCAATTGAAAACATCTGGTCATGGATTGCTGAGAGACTGGCCCACCACCCCTCTCTAGCTAATACAGTTGATGAAGTGTGACATAGACTTGAAGCAGCATGGAACGAGTTGCCTGTTTCTGTCATCCAAGCCCAATTTGACTCCATGCCTAACAGGATAAGGGCCGTTTTAGCTGCCAGGGGATGGCAACTGTGTCTACTAATTTCACACCCCTGTAAACTCCCAAACTACTTGAAAATTTAATAATTTTGTCTTCATGCCATACTGTTTACATACAATAAATATTTTTTTTTATTTGCTTTCCTTTTTGGTGTTGCAATTTTAATGGCCAGCAGTGTATTTAGCCACTTCAGTCATCCAGTCTCAATCCAGAAAAAATTTGTCTATCTTAAGTAAATTCGTTATAATATAAACCAGGTTTAAATGGTTAGATTGAACTGGATTGATGAAATAAGGCAATGTAACACATAGGCAATATGCTAAGGGTACACCTTAGGAGACCTGGAAGACTTTCTATGAGAAAATGACCTACGTACTCTCAAAAGAATAAGGTCAAAAGGTATCATTTTTATGGCCATCTTTCCAATAAACATACTGTTATTTTCATAAATCACACATAAAATTCTTATTTCTTTATACAAACAAAATAATCAAATTTTGGTCAATTTACCTACATAAGACCAAAAAAAGCCAGTTTTGATCAATAAACATATAATAAGATTGTGCAAAAACTTAATTCTTATTTTTCATTAAGTTTAATTTATTGTTTATAAATTTAAAATGACAATTTTTACTTACCTGTGAGTAGATGTTGGCTGTAATGTAATAGTTATCATAATCAACGGAATAAATTCAGAAACTTCTTGATGTACACTTTGTTTATATAGTTGATACATTAATACAACAATAATAGGTAGTTCAGCTAATACTTTTAATGATAAAACAGCTTTGGGAATAATGTTATACTGAAAATAAATTGTAATTTTACTTATATTGAATTAAAATAATATTAAAATTTAATTCTATGTTTTTTAACATTAGTAAGTAAATATGTTTTGCTAGCTATCATTATTTTCATGTTTCTATAGGCACATATTTAAAAAGTTATATATTTTGTGAATTCAATACATCTTTTTAAAAAGAAACTAATATTTCAAATTCTAGACAAAAATTGTTTTTCTATAAAGAAAATCAACTTATATTTATAATGGAAGTTTTTCTTATAAATATTAAATGTCCAGAATTTTTCAGTTTACAGCTAACTCATCTTAAGAGATAATATTTTTGAGTGGACAAAAGAGCAAATCATTTGCTTGTATTTAAGAAAAAAAACATTTAAATTTGATATTTTAAATGGTGTGATCAAAAACATTTACTCCCTGAAATATCACATGGTTATTTAATATTTATAAGAAAAGTTTTAATTAAAATTTTATAAATTTTAAGAAATTAACATTAATAATGAATAGATTTAAATGAATAAAAAGCAACTAATTATATACTATAATTTATAAAATTATTTGTTGATTTTATTTTTTTTTTTGAAAAAATTTAAATTATAAAATATAAACAGATCATATCTACTCTATTTAATGCTCTTTTTTTTGCTTTATCTGATTTATATTAATATAAATCATAAAAAGTATTTCATATTAAGTTATAACTGTCATTAAAACTTAATATGAAAGATTGAAAAACAACTTACAGTCAATATTGTAGCATCTTGATTTTTTTTCTCAGTCTGAATATTGGTTATTGTAAATGTTTCCATTAACAAAGCACTTATATTTACTTCAGAAATATCCTTTACTTTCAATGTATGACGAGGTTCAAAAATTTTATTTAAATGATTAGGTAATTCTTTATAAATATTCTTTACGAATTGTAGAAATCTTTGAATCTGAAAAATTTAATTCTTTATTTATAAATGTAAACTTAAGATTTAAAAGTGACAACTCTAATCATAAGAAATAATCAATATCATTAAATATAATCAATCAACACAAAATGACCTAATGAGAAAAGGAATATTAATACAATTTAATGTTTCTGGTTTAATTCAAAAATTAACATTTTGTATGTAAAATGATGTATGTATTACTTGGAAATAATTGTCTGGACAGATTACCAAAAGCATAGAAATCTTATTTATTACAATTTTAATAACACACAGATCCACCTTCAGACTCAGTTACATATTCTATTCTATCTGGTACACTGTTCATTAAGTTTTGCTACACTCCTTGATATAGCCCTCCATTCTTCAATCAGACATTGACCAAATTCTATCAGATTATATGATCAATTTGGTCTGCCTCTTATTTATATCTCTAATTAATCTCATAGATGCTCTATGAAGTTGAAGACTGAACTCAGTGCTAGCCAATCAATCAACTTAACATTTTTCTTCTCAAATCAGACATTTTTTGTGCACATAATATAAACATGCAGATTATTCTAGTGGAACATGTAGAAGCTATTGCTGAAGAATTGCCACAATGTAGGCAACACAGAATTCTACAGAATGTCTGTAGTGCATTGCCTGCATGTAACCTTTCACAATAATTAAAGGTGTAGCAATGTTCCAACTGAAACATTTCAAAAACCATTTCACTGTGAACACAAATGCATTCATGCAGTAGGCATGCTCCTGGCATACACCTTACTCAAACAGGACCAATGAATGGAAAACAAAACCTGGGACTCCACAAAATATATTTCTAATCTTCTTGCAACCAGCTAAGATGATCACTGCACCATTTGAGTCCAGGTCTAATATTCATTATTATTACTTTTTGGCTTTTGAGTAACAACTCTACTAGAGTTATGCAGCTCAGAACAAATGGTTTAACTGTGCCATCCAACTGAGCATTAAATTCCTGAGTTATTCTTCTGCTCTTTGGATAAGCTCTCTTTATCATTTTCTTTAGCAGTATAACATATAGTAAATTTAGACAGCTAGCTTCAGGTAACACACATTAGTTAGAAGATTCCTTGTGACACACATACAGAAAGGTGGCATAGATGGCATCCAACAATTTAGATGCCACCTATGCCACCTTTTCATGAGTATCAACAATACCTAGAAATGCTAAACTGAGACAATTCAGTATGTCTAAGCATAATTTGCAAATGCTTCTCGAATGTTCTGGCTTATGTAAACCTGTCTACCGACACATGGCAATTCATTTCAGGATGATAGGGAGGTCCACATAATTACTTTCAAGTAATGTAATTCATCAAATACTAAATAATAGTCCAATAAATATATAGCAATAATTAAAATAAGCTAGATTTTAATTTAAAATAGAATACTATAGTATTCTATTTTATGCTATATAGATGCTATTTTATGCTGATGTGAGATTCTGAAGGGGCATTTTAGTAATTGGATTAATTAGTTAAACTAATACAGAAGTGGGAAAAACACACTTCCTTTCCCCCACCACCTGGCATTGCCAGTGACCTCTGATCCGATAGATAAGGACAAATCAAATAGCCATACAAATCAAGAATTTTAAAGATGTTTTGAATAAGTTCTGGGAATAAATCCAAACATATAATTACTAATGATAGGAAACTATCAAATTGAATGAATTTATGAGGTAAGACAAGTCACAATAATGGCTAGAAAATATCCATAATCCAGGCAAATCATCCAGTTCTTGACAGCTCATATCGACTGGACCTGGACACAGCTCAAACTTAGACCACATTAAATCAAAATCACGTGATTCTTCTCCGACACTTGATACATATAAAAAGGGCTCAATCTCGAGCATTAGGGCAAACACTCTCCCAAAAGCAAGAGGACAAGCTTCTGTTCATTGTCATCTTGCCTTGCCCGCTCTAGTCTCCTTGCCAAGATGATCCTGGAGTGTTTCACAGACTTCACAAGAGAGACTGACTACAGATGTCTCACCATACTCCAACAAGAAAGGAAGGAAGACTACTCACCACCCGTACTGACTGTCGATCCTGGTGTGTTTCACCAACATCCCATATAATGGGATCTGGAACCATTGGTCTGAGAGATATATTACTTAACACCTGCCACCTGTAATATGATATCTTACCAAAGGGGGGGGCCAAAATGAGAAAATTTGATACCTAATATTTTATTTTAATGTAAATGAAAGGGACAATATATAACAGTCAAGAGAGGGAAGATAAGAAAGATATATGCATGTCGCACGGGCAGTCGTATGGCCTTGAATGGGAGACCATTTCTCCCAGGCAATAAATTTTACAACCCGCTATAATTAGACATCCTCCCCTACTTAAGTTTTTACTTCTTTGTGTTAAAAGTATTTCACACTTTGTTTCATTGCAAATGTTTTTTTTTTTTTTTTTGTAAATATACATTAAAACGCACTTATATACTTTAATTTTTTTTTGTAATATTATTTACTTTATATGCAATAAAAGAGAATAATTAAACTAGTTTTCGATATTTGAAACTATTTACTATTAAAATAAACCACTATCAGATATAAAATAGATTTTTATTTAAAAAAACTATGACTGATGACCTTGAATAGCTTCATGAGGCCATTACGATGCACCGGCAGTTGGAGATTCGACCGCAGGGCCATACGACTGCCAGCGGTCAAAACCAACTGCATAGACGTCCACGAGAGGACACCACTAGCATGCAGAAAAATGTCATACAAAGCCAAGATAGTTTAACCTTGAGTGAAACTACATTGTTTAATTGACAGCGCACAGTCAGATGGCTTTTAGGTCGACTGCCAGTACAACTGCCAGCACGACGAATGGCAGTTAATGTGTTAAAGAAATGTAAACTCTCTCAAGGTCAATTAGCTATAAGGACGTAGATATAAGGCTTTAATGTCTATCCGATACAGTCGTATGAACTGAACAGAAAAATTACTGGCACATAGAAATACTCCTGGACATTATGTTACCTACAAAAGGTAGAATAACCTGTAGTGTATTAGCTTACTGTATCATATGTTTTTGTGTTAAGTTCATTAAATTGTTATTTTTGTTGTTTAACCTGCTCTCATGTGGACTTATTAGGCACCAACACCCTATCAATGGACTTATAACCCTCAGTCACTCAGGTAAAACCATCCAGTGACAAAGTGAGCAGTGTTTACCAGACCATTGCTGGTCGAAGGGGATTTAAACCAGTTTACACCGACCCCCGCGGTTTCTCACACTATATATTAATAGAATACTATAGTCTGTTAATTAGCACAAATGTTTATTAGCATTTTTGTCTTATGATATTACCTATAGAATAATTTCTTACTAAACATTAAACATAACTCAAAATGTGATAGTAGTGTGCAAATAGCCAAATTCCATACTTGGAAACAATAAAAAAAATTTTTTTTTTTATACATAATGAAACAATAGGCAGCATCAACAATGAAAAATAATAATGTGGACATTTAATTCTATGTCCAATTTTGAATCTATGAAATAATACTTAAATATTCATCTAATAAGAAAATGAATCGATCCCAGACCATACAGACATCAAGCATATCTATAAAAGATATGGATTCATTCTATTCCTCAAGACAGATATTTGTTATATTACCTAAACTAATCTGACACCTAATTTAATAATAATAATAATAATAATAAATAAATAACATAATACATCTAGATAAGAAAATAATTTTGAATCTGATACATGAATCTCAACTGAATTTAAGAAAAATGATTCTTTTGAAATATCACAGTGATATTTCAAATACTTGTAAACTAATTCAAATAAATGATTTCACTGTTTTTACTTTGAATTCTTACATTTAAGGATAAGATCAGATCTTATCAGCTATCAATCATATATGCTCAACTGAATTAGTGAAATAACACTACAGGAGCACCATCATTGATAATTTGTCATCATATCATTATCCTTAAATGATCAAAATCTTGTATCCATGTAATATAGCACTACAAAAAAAATTAAATATTATATATGACAATTGTAAGAACTTGGCATCAAAAACTAATTCAGTTAAATCACCAATAATGATTAATAAAATTAAAACTAAGACAATAGTTTATTTTGAATTAAATGATAGGAAAAAATCCACAGTGTCTTATATAATTTCACCCTTTTCACATGTCAGGAATCTGACCATGCAAAAGTTGTCCACAAACATACCTCTGGCAGTGGCAGGCCTGGGAGTGCTATTTACCCTCTGAAAAAGTGAGAAAAGTGAGTTGAAATACAGAAAAAGTGAGTAAAAAGTGAGTGCAATACAGGTAGCCCTCGGTTTACGCCGGCTCAATTTACGCCGATTCACAATAACGCCACTGTGCAATTCGCCATTTCGCAGTGTAATTCCCCGATTTTCCCTATTCTAGACTGATTTTCATTTCAGTGTTGACGTATTTACCGAGCTGCGACATTGTATATTCGTTAAAACAAAGATTTTTATTGAATATATTTATTTTTTCTGTTCTGTTTAATATTTTTTCTGTTCTATTTATAATTCTGTTTAATATATATGTTTTTCTGTTTAATTATTGGGTATGATACATTTGCATTAAATTAATATTAAAATACTAAACATTTAGGTACCCACGAGTCTATGCTTGGGCAACTTGAGCTTTTCTTGCACAGCTTCATAATTTTCCCACCGAGCAGGCCATCCATCAAAAAAATCTGTAAACTGCCACAATAAGTTCTGATGCATCTTCACCCAGTTCATTTAATGCTTTCAGATATGTGTTATGAATAATAAGAATTGTACATGTTCCAATGTCAACAAGGCTTTTCTTGCGAATTCCCAGTATATCTTCCTTAAAAAGTCGTAACACGTTTTGTTTAACATTAGGACCATCTGATCCTATCATCAAAAGTTTGTGTAGTGACAGGTTGGCATCATCAATAGCTTTGATAATGTATGTATGTAATGTTTCTGCATCTGCCCGTCCAAGAAAACATGTATTTAGGTGTCTGCAGACAACTTGTTCTTTTTGCTCAGACCAAAACCTAATCATTATCTGTAACTCTTTCTTACTTTCCACATTGCTGGTTTCATCATAACTTATTGTAAAGAATGAAGAGTGGATTTCTTCTAGCATTTTTTTTGGAAGTAGGGAGCCAATGCTTCAGTTATTAAATAGCGCAATTTCTTCTCACTCATTGATATTCCTTCAGGAAGTTTTAGTTTTTGGAAGCATTGCTTGTAGTGTTGGAACCATATTATTAGAAGCAGCAAATGAGAAATTACTACATATTGTTTTCATGGCCCGTATCAGTTCTGCATGGTATGAAGCATGTATTGGATTATATAAACTCACAGTTGCCAATCCTTCTCCAGTCCCATTATCAGTATTACTTGAAATTTCATCATTTTTTGATGGGCCTGCAAAACTATTACCTGGTGCAACCAATGTCAGGTGTAACTGTCTTGGACCATAAGCACAGGTAAATTTTTGTCTGTGTTTGACAGTACCTCCATGATCAAAAAGNGCAATGTAATTTTGTCGTTCCCAAAGTGAGAGAAAGAAAAAATTATGAAAAAATTGTAAATTTTTTTAGTATTTTTTTTTCTACTTTTAATTTAAAATCAACAATATTCGCCTTATTGTATTATCAATGTATTATTTCCATTTAAAGTTAAGTGAAGATCACTAATGTCTTTTTCACATGATAGAAAATTGTCAAAAAAGAAAACTATTTTTGTTCTAGTAATCTTCACTTAAATTCAAATGTCCAATAAACAAAACCCCATATAGAATTAAATTCAAATTTTTCTATGATATTTTTACTTATAGGAAAATATCAAAAAAAATTTGTAGTCTTTCTTTGATTATTCATAGCAATTGGGAAACAAAACTTTTTCCATTTTTTCAAGTACAGAAAGAGTGCAGAAAATTAAGTTTGAAAATTGTTTAAATTTTCACTGTTACATACAGAAAGAGAGAGTCAATAATCACTAGAAAGTGAGAATGGTTTTGCTTTCTATAGAATAACATGGCAAATAAAATGAAATCATATTAAACACAAATCACCTACAATAAATAGAGCCTTATCTTTTAAAAAGCTTTCAGATATCCATAAACATTTAACTTTTGAAAAAGTACACAAAGGGAAACAGCTAAGAATGAGATGATATAAGACCAGAAAACAATTTGCCATCCACCATATCAGCACCCATCTCCAAATTCTAAAATTATTCTAACAACACTAATAATAGATGCTATTTGAATTTCTGTTTTCTAAAAATAGAGATTCTATATTTTTGGAAAAAAAAATGTATTTTTGTTTTCTCTTTGTTTTCCATTAATGGAATTTTTCCATATGCGTACACATGCTTAATAATAATATTTAATATGTGAACTGACAAAAAATAAATGGAACAGAACTTTCCACGTATTTTATTTCTATTATTTTCATTTAATTTATTATTGATTTGTGTCACTCTTATTATAAAATTGAAATGATTATCTGAACTGAGCAGCTCCATAAAAAGCTAATTTCATTTTTAGTTTTTTAATGTGTCATAAACACAAGTTAGAGTAAAACATGAATAAACTTACCAGTTATTGTTATATACAATGTGTTTATTGCCCATTGCAGTATTACATTTAACATTTAATTATTGTTTTGTTCCATTAGCAAATGCAACCACTTGTTTGAAAATAAAAATAATTTTCTTAACTTACTACTGTTTTGATGGTCATAAAGACTAACTATATAGTGAAATAATAATTATTTGCACATATTTATAATATGTACTGTAATTATATAAACATATGATGTTTTAAAGCTATATATAAAGTTGCAATTGTATGCATCATAGTCATAACTTTACATATAGTTTAATATCTTAATATTTTACCCATAATTTAATGTAATCTTTTTCTTTTCTTTTTTTTATCATTTGTTCAGATAAATGCTGCTGAAAATGTATTAAACAGATCATCACAATAATTCCTCTTATTCTGTGAAACTGTCTATCAATACAATAATAAAATTTTCATTAAATTCAATATATTGTATTGTCACATTAATGATTTTAAATTAACAACTAAGACTTGTATACTTACTTCAGGACTAAACTGAGGACGAAACTGTTTATGTAATTCAATAATTATGCGTAAGCATACTAAAACATTTTCTTCATTTTCTATCTACAATTATAAAAATAAAAACTAAATTAAACTGGAAACATACTAAGTTCTGAACATTTCTTAAATAATCTCTAATTTAAATTTTGTTATATTTAACTTTCACAAGAACACATACAATACTGAAATATAAAATAATCATTTTGATCAATTTTAGTTGTAAGTTTCTTTATAATTTTAATATTTTTTTTCTGATTACATTTTTATCATTTATTTATTTTTATATTATATTTTTATTATTCATATAAAATATCAAGGATCATTTACACAAACACCTTGTATTATAAGTTGTCAGATACAAGAAATCTTTATTCACAAAGCACACTGTACCTTATGATATTGAAAAAAATCTCAAATACTACAATAGCTAATAGTTCTCATAAGTCAATGAACTGGAAAAGATGGTGGCCAAATGTTTTTGTAGAGTTGACTTTGTATATAATTACATAAATTTCAAATTTATTTACATAATTAAATGGTTGATTATTCACTATAAGAATCTGATTTAGAAATTATATACTATTAAAAACTTTCTATTATAATTATTCATTTGATAATTTAAAATATACAAAATAATTAAACTCATTTTTTATAAATCTGTAATACATAATAAAAATGTTATTTATCAATATCTATGTTACAGATAATTAAGTTAATAAATCTATAAACTATAATAATCATTATATATCATCAAACATTATTTAAAGCAGATTTTTATTGTACTTAATAAATAACATTAATATTTTAAAATTATTTACCTCTAATAATTGGAACATTAATGATAATATTTGCCTGGCATGAGGTTTTAAATGATCATTTGCAGGTATACGATGAATTATTTCAAGAATTAATTTTCGTAATTGCTAAAATAAATAAATTTTAGTAATTACCTATTTTATACAAAACTCTCTCAATACAGAATAATTAAAAAATAATATAATCCTTTCAAGTATTAATACTTTAATATAAAATATGTTATTAGGAATAATGAATTTTAAATTTAAAAAATTACTTTAAATACTTAAAAAAAAACTTAAAATTAAATTACAATTAACATTTCATTTCATTTAATGTATTATCTAATTTTTCCAAAATAAAAAAAAAATTATTTTTACCAAAAGCAGTCAATATTTGTAAAGTTGTTAGATATCATTTCATTATTCGAATTAATCTTGAAAATTTTATTGCATTATATATATTATCAGAATAAATTTAATTCTAAATACTAACTTGCACGTTATGTTCTGCAATAAAATAAGGTTCTCCTTCTTGTAAAATTTTTAAAAATATTTTCAATGCATGTTCAAGAAATGAAGGATACTGAGGAGATGATACAATTGTCTAGAAATACATAAATAAAAAATATTTAAATGATTTTGAATTAATCAATCCTGAAATGTAAAAACATTATATTATAAAAACTTGAGATATTATATAAACTAATGTAACAAAAACATAATATAAGGTAGGAGCTAATTATGGCCCAATAAGTTTGGACTATTATTTTGACCAACTGCAATTTTTTTCCCAAGAAACAATTAAGCTATCATCTAGCTCTAAGTGATAGTTAAGTTAATTCTTGGAAAAAAATTGGAATTAGTCATAATATTAGTCCAAACTTGGTGAGCCATAATGGGGGCTCTACCTTATTAAGAAATGCTCAACTGTGGCATTTCATGCTGCTCAATGGTGTAGTTTTGTAATTTAAGATAAAAGAATTCTTTTAAATAATATATGAAGTTAATATTTGTTTACTAGTTGTTTTAATATAGCCTATATAGCTTTAATAAAAATTAATTGATATTAAGAAAAAATAAGTTTAATATAATGAAAAACAAATTAAAAATAATAAGTATCTTTAAACATAAGTATATGGCACTTAAAATCATTCAAATGCTATTTTATTGTATAGGCATGAGGAACTAAACTTTGATGCCTCAAAATAAAAAAAATTAATTTTTAAAATTTCAGATATTTCTGATAAAACTCAATATCTCTCTGCACTAATTTTACTAATTAAACTAAAATTGCTTTCATTTTTCTGTAAGAAATTTGTTTCTACTCATATGATGTTAGTAAATAAGTGAGCCTTCATAGCATTGCAACTTTATTACACTATATGATTTAAGTTATAAAAACATCATGTCTAGCAAAACAAAATATACATATCTGCACATATATACACATTTAAAGTGTATATTGAAAATCATTATTATTTCAAGCTGTAAGTAATCTGCCTATTTAATGCACTAAAAAACTTTGCCACAAGCATAAAGATTCTGGACTAGATTTATTCCGACTGCATGCACTTGAAAAGTATTTACTTTCTGCATGAGCTTCATCTATAAAAATTTTGTATTTTATTGTTGGTATCAATGTTCTCTTTGTTTCTATATGTTTTTAGTAACATTATAATATTGTATAAGTAAACCATTAATAATTTATCCCTAAGCAACAGTTTTTCATTTGTAAACATCCTATTAATATCTCATTTGTCATTAAAATAAATTGTTGCGTATATTCCAAACAAGTAAATTAACATTTTGTGAAATATATAAATGTACAGTACGAGTTTAAATCTGTGGACGAAGTTTTCAATTCAAAATATATTTTCTTTGGGTTTAATAATTTTTATATAATCATTTATATAGTGTATTGCTACAAAAATTTAAAGCGCAAAAGTTCAGCATGTAACTCTTCAGTGTAAATACTGTACCCATATTTTGTTCACACGTTTTCTCTGTAAATATTTTCTTTCTTTAATTGTAAAAAGTTGCTGTGACCATTAGGTCAAATTGTATATCTCAGCTTTCACTCTGTCCTATCTCGCTTTCTTTCACCTTCCACCTCAACCCTTCTTAAAACTTTTATTCTTCTTTCCTATTCATGTTTTTCGGCTATACCAATGAGTGCGGCCAATAAACAGTTCTAGTGTAAGTAATCTGCTACCTTTCCTTTTTTTTTTTTTTTCTTTCTTAGCACTTTCCACTCTACAGAGACTTTTTTAAAGTTTCTGACTGACTTTTTCTTTTTGAAAATGTGTCCATAATGTTAAAAGATAATGTTGAAATATAGCTACAAAAAAGTCTGCATAACAATGGTAGAGTTAATTCCAATATTTAAACTTAATTTATAAACATTCCTTGCTATTTTGAAATATACTCATAATTTAAAAATCTTCTTACATGAATACTGGAAAGCATATAAATTAACTCTCCTAAACCTTAAAAGTCCAGTAGTAAATATTTGTAGATGTTCCACAGTGTGGAACACCTACAAAACCTGGAGGCATTTGAAATTTACAAAGCCAGGTTATGTACCAATTGCATTAACTCTAATGATGCCATCAATGTGTCACACGCTTGGAAGTACTGCTATGAAGGAACAGACAATGCCACACCAACAGTTAGAAGCCTCACCCCCATTTGGTGTGTTTATATGTATTTATATCAGTGTATGTATTACATATACCATTCCATCACCATGGCAATGCACATGCATAACTGTTTATTCTTTTAAAATCCATTTGTGCTGTTCCATTTTTTGAAAATAATTTCATAATTTTGTTCTACGCATTCACTTGTTTTAATCTCACTGGTTTTTTAAACCTGAAGAAGACCGAAAGTATGGTCGAAAACGTTTGTTTGCTATTAAATATTTACTACTGGACTTTTAAGGTTTAGAGTGTTAATTAATATACACATAAAAAAGAAAAACTAGTAGTAATGGGATAGAATGCAACTTTTACTGTCATATAGGTCCTAATATTATTTTCCAGCTGTTATATAAAGTATAACAGAAGAAAAGTATGGTAAGTTGTCAAAAATAACTCCCAAGATTTTTACATTTTTGAAACTCAGGGGACCTTCATTGAGAAATGCAAAAAAGTTAGAAGGATTTTTTCTGTATATATGGATGTTAGATTTTTCTAAGTGGAGAGCAGTCTCATGCGACTGCTCTCCACTTAGTGCAATCACATTGCCCTTGTTTGACAATTCATTGAGTGAAACAATTGCTACCCTATGTGCCTACACACTTTGCATGAAATGGAAGGTGATTTGCAATGAACTATGGGAATTTTTTAAATGGCAGCAAAACTTTCAACTTAAAATAAAGTTTTATATTTTTCAGTTTAATTTTATATTTTTTTGACATTTAATACTAATTAATGTCTTACCCAACCTGCTACTAATTAAAGTCATTTGCTTCCATACTTCTGTTTTCATATGCTCGTTTCTAAATTTGGGTCTTTTTTTTGGTCATAACAAATAGGATGTCATCTGATATCCCCCAACAGTTTTTCAACAGCAGTATCAGACCAACTAATATTTGCTATTTATTTTAGTCCTTTTTTGTACTTTTTTGAAATTTCCACACCCTGCCATCTGATCATCACATACTGACTTGTATGCTACAGTTGTACTTGTTTGTGCTCCTCAATTAAGTGGATTTTTTCACAGAACTTTTTGTGCCAGGACCTTTTGAAATTCACAGATGGAAGCAGCTAATCATCCCAAAGCTACCGGTATGAAAATTACTTAATTACATTAATTAGGGGGAAGTTAATTAAGGTGCAACTTTGAGGAATTTGAAAAAAAAAATCAACGAACATAAGCTTTCAGTGAACAAAACAGTTGACAGTATGGTCCTTGCCACTTATGCTAAACAACAAGGCATTACTGTCTTCTGGGACCAGGCCTCTATAATAAAAACTATCAGATCTAGACACGTGGTAAAATATCTCAAAAAGCTGGAAATCCATAGGGCACAGAAGAGCACGCAGTGTATCAACTATAGAGATGCCGACAGGCTTTCGTCCACTTGGAAATCTTTTTGCGACAAATTGGCATAGATCTATATAAAAGGATTAATCAGGCTTAGGATAATCCTTGATATTTTATTTATTTATTTTTATTATTATTTATTAAACACATGGAAATTCGTATGTGTCACTTTCGTTTATAACATGTTACACCTTTTAATTTTTTGCATAACCATTTATTTGAAATTCGCTTGCGTAATTTTTCGAATTTCCCATTTTCGAATTAGAGAAATAACTGATGATGAACGCTTAATGCGTTTGAAAACATTTTTATGTTATTAAAGAATTATGCTGGATAGTTAAATGGTTTTTATTTTTATTGAGTTAATTAACTTTAACATTTTGGATTTTTGATCAGGCCTAATGGGAAGGAAATTAATTTTCAGGGGGTGGCACCAGGATGTTCGTCAAAGGAAGGTTAGTTTCAGAGATACCTAATATTAGTTGCGAAACAGAGAATAAATCCGAAGAAGGCTATAAACGCAGAACAGATCATAATGCATTTGACAAAGGCTGCCCAATTACAGTCTGAACAAAGGTATCAATGATTCAAAAAACCAACTATGGCCAATAAAAGAAATCAAGGTAACATGCAGCGACCATACAACATAAAGCTAAACATATTCCAAATGAATCTTCAAAGGGCTACGGCTCCAACTTCCCTCCTGGCAGTAGAATAAAAAATTTCACATGTTACGGGGGTTTAAACAATTTAGTATTACAGCCCTTGGAAAATTTCAAAAATTTTGAGTTACAACAGATTTTAATGGCTGTTTAATGGATTCTAACGGCCTTTTTAATGGTTCCTACTGTCTGTTTATTCATTAAAATGTATTACTAGCTTAATTAGTAGGTACCTTATAGTTAATTGAGAATAAATTAAATAATCTTCATTTAATTAGCATAATATAGTTCAGCTAACTATATATAAAATAATTTCGCATACTTATGCGTGAATTGTCAGAACATTGCTGTACCTGTTAGTACGTTTGTCAACTCAAGTGATTGCTTTGACATCAATTGTACGTGGCTTACTACCTATTCTTGAATAATAAAGTCGAACGGTGAGCTGAACTTAAGCAATCTCAAGCTGAACTTAACAACACACAAGACTCACAAAGTGACCCAGCTGTTGTTCTTGGACCAATAACGAACACAATACTGAAAGAGGCAAGTTCCCACCTATGGAAAATACTGAAACTGAAACTTACTGGTACCTGAAACTTACTGGTCAAATTTAAAGATAGAGGAGCGTAAGGAGATCCGGGAAAGGGTTTCACAGCTACATAGTTTTGTCAGCCAAATATGCAGAATCCCTAGGGAACTCAGAACATAACCCAGTCCCCCACTAGTATTCAGTAAGGGAAAGGGGATCCAACCAATCTATGTCATTATTACCAAAAGTAACAAACCAATTCAACCAAGTTCAACTACTAGGGTGGTCGATAAATCAAAACTGCAAAGAGAGGGTACTGTTGGCAGCCATGCTGTTCTGGTTTACACAAAAGAAAATGTGAACCCCAAAGCATAATGGATATCAAAAAAGTTAAATACACAATTCTAAATACAATCGAACCTCAAAAACTCCGAATCAGATTCAGGGCAATAAAGGACATGAGAAATGACGGATTTTGCATTCGGGTTGTCAGTCACAAAGAGGGGGAGGTCCTTATGAATGCCATCAAAAATATTTCACATGTTAAAGACAAAATCAGATGCTCAACATCTATGGGCAGGCTCCAGGCATATGGGCAGGAATTGATGCTATTAATTAATTAAATTTTAGTAGTTAAAAGATAATGGGATGAAGAAATAGAGGAGGGATAACATCTCATATCTTGAGTGGGATCAGATTTAAGATTTTACTTGTTATTAGCATTTACAAGTTTTTTTTACAAACTAATCTCTACTCTCAAAATTAAGCTCTTTACCATTTTATAATAATTAATAATATAAAAAGTTGTTTTTAATAAACTCTCATATTAGATGGCACCTCACACAATTTTAATTCTTGCTGACAAAGTTACACAATTCATTGCTGGATGTTTTTTTAAATCTAAGAAAATTTTATTACAACATCCATGAATTATTATTATTTGGCTTAATTTCTGCAATAATATTACTCTTATATAGAAACTTTCCCCACTACCATTTCAATTTAATTACTCTTGTAGAAAATCAATATTATAAACTCTGAAATAAGTTTAATCTTTTATAAGGTTTTTTGATTTTATCTGCTTCATATCGTTTATTCAAAATTTTTGTTGTATGATTTACATTGTTTAGAACTATTTGATTGCAAATAAAAGTATTTTTCTGCTATTTTATCAGACTGTGAAGAAATAGCCAAAAAGTACTTCTATATAATATATGAAAGTTTGACTTGACTAATATAATTTAGGGATACACTGAATTTTTTCAGATATTGATAAAGAAATAGTTAGATCATTTTTTCCAATCTTTTTGTAATGTGGCTCCTCCCAACTTGATAGTTTTTTTTTTTGCATCCCCTCTACTTCTTTATCAATGGAGATTTATTGTGCTTTTCATAGGTTTAGTAATACAGTAGAGCGTTTATCCGAAGGTCGGTTATCCGAAGGAATTCCAGTCGACAAATTTGAATTTTTGCCAGTGCTATGGCGCTGTAATCTTTTGCTATGTCTTCGGCTACTCAAATATATTACGTTTTTGATACTAAATTAACTTCTGAAGTATAATTTTTTTACTGTTTTTATATTTTTCAATATATTTATTTTGTTTGTACAAAATAAATAAATAAATAAATAAATAAATAATTTTTAACGATACAATAGTCTTTGTTAGGCTTAACATCGACGAAAATTCAACGCGAAGTGACACGCAACGGAGAAAATTTTCAACACGGGATAAATTCATATATTTTTCGTACATAATTGGTTATCCGAAAAATAAGTTATCCGAACAACCCCAGTCCCCAATTGATTCGGATAAACGACGCTCTACTGTACATGTAAGAAGTGTTACAGTGCTGCTCAGTCCTATATTTCACAGTATCCCTAAACTGTTGTTGCAGCACTCTAGTGTGCTGCACTATACTGATTGAAAACCACTGTGACATAAACTTTATAAAAGTTATATTTATCTAAAACTTTTAGCATTTCAAATTACTGTAACTAAAATTTTGAAATCAAATAATTTTTATAGATATTTCAATTATTTAACATTTCGAATAGATCTTAGCTTTGTCCTTAGATAATGAAGCCAACTTAAATATTTAAAAAATTTTTGATTTAAAATGTATCTAATTAAAGACAATTTATTTATTTGATGAAAGTTTAAAAAAGACCTTATGTATCATGTCTTCCATAAATTACTCCATAAAGATGTTTTTCATAAACATACATTAAAGTTAATTTAAATATTTAATAAATTGTTTAAGTTGTTCAATTTTTATTTCTGTAAAGTTATTAAACCTTTTCTAAAAACATTTAATCAACAAAATAAAAAAAAAATCAGCTATTTTAATATTATTTACTTATCTAATGATGATAAAGATATATTTAATAAATTCATTTAAATATATTACTTATATGAATTATATGTAAATAACATCTAACTCAATTTCTAAGGGAAAAAAAGTCCTAATTCTGATACATACTTCTAAATCTTCACTTAGTTCTTGAGCAGCCTTCAATTTGCTTTCATCCTCTTAAATAAAAATTATGTAATTAATAAAATATATGTAAAATAAGAACAAATTATTAAATAAGTCAAAATAAATAAATTAAGCATAATGTGTTGAATGAAAAACATAGATAAAAGAACATTTTAAGAAAGTACATACACAAATATTAAAGCAACAAAGTAAGTACTGTACATTTAGTTACATACATATAACACCCACTGCCAAGAAAAAGTCTTTAGCAAAACCTTATTTTCTCAAAATATTGATATTCTCTTCTCTATATGCAGCATACTTTGTGACATACAAGCCCCAATAAATTATACTTCTGAGGAAAACAGCAGAAAAACTATGAAATATCTGATTTTTAATTTTGCAATTTTAATGTTTAATAATAATTTTTACTATAAAATGCAAATTTTTGCTGTTTTTTTATAACTATAAATTCTTGAAAGTATTGTTTAGCATTTTGTTTTGAGTTGTGTATAGTCTTGTTATAATTATAGTGTTGAGATGACATCACTTACCACAATGACATATATTAATTTATTATATTTCAAATTTCATCAGGATATTTTAAATTCAGTAAGTTAAACTGGAATTAATTTCATACTCTTTCTGAATTTGCAATCTCTCTACACACCGGTGAATGTAAATAAAATACTCCTCAAACCTTTTAACCAAAGTGCTTCCTTCCTTTTAACCAGAGTATGTCTGGTTCCACCTGGAAGGTGTCTAGGAAGAGTTTTATGTCTGGTTCCACCTTCTAGGTGGAACCAGACATAAAACTCTTCCTAGAAGCCATGAATAATAATCCATATGGGCTATCAGTAGAAGTAGAGCAATATGACTCTTAGTAGAAGTAGAGCAATATGACTCTTCAAGGGTGCATTTCTTGGACATTGATATTAACTTCGAAGGAGCTAACATACTTGCATCTGTGTACCAGAAACCTAGTACCTTCCCAACATATATTCCAAGAAATTCGTGCAATCCTATCCCATACAAAATCGCCGCTTTCCGAGCATTAGTAAGAAGAGCACACACGCACTCATTGACACAACAAGCTCTAACAACAGAACTCCAACATATAGAAAATATTGATGTAGCCCATGGATACAACACTCTAGTCAAAAATTTGTCTAAAAGGCATGAGGTTTCCCAAAAAGCCACTGATCAGACAGGGCCACCATTGAATATATGTGATGAAGAAAAAGAGAGGATACCTATCACATAATCCAATACTGAAATCAATCTACAGTATGGTAGCCAAACGAAGGGGCATAAATATTGCATACAGAAGGTGTCAAACTGTCTTCAGGATACTAACTAATGGCAAAGACCTACCAAACCTTGAAAGGCTTCCAGGAGTATACGCAGTACCACTAGAAGACAACAGGTGTGATAGACAACTGACATATATTGGTTCCACGAAACGTTCGTTAAAAATGAGGTTAAAAGAACATGAGTCAGACATACCTATCTGACTCATGTTCTTTGTACAGCATGGTAGAAACACAACAGTCCTAACATACACTTCAGAACAGGAAATAACGGCAGACCTGCACACGGCGAAAATCATTATAACCAACTCTAACCCACAACAACTAAAAATGGCTAGAAGCCATGGAGATATTTAAGGCGGAAAAAAATGGTACATGTATTAATTATAAGGAGGAAATGGCCCTATCTGTAGCATGGCAGATTTTGCTAGATAACAGCATTTAATGAGATGATTATGGAGCATGCACAATATAACTATGGAACGATTTCACATGATAGCGTTCAGAAGAAATTCTTATCAAATGTTTATTTAAACAGTAACAGCCTATTTATTAAAGCCTGAAGTAGAGTCCAGGAGGGGCAACGAAAACGTTTGCGATTCTAAAAATAGAAGCACTCTGGTTAAAAGGTTTGAGGAGTATTTTACTTTCTGAATTTATTAAATGAAATGTTCACATAAGATAGAGCATTGCAGTTAAAGAAACTTATAGATTCACACTGGGATCAAGCAACATCTTTAATATTTAAATTATAAAGTAAAAATGTCAAAATTACTATTAAAATAAAAATTGATCAAAACAACTTGAACCTCAAATAGATGTGCCATTTATATTATGAAAGTATATTTTAAAAATGAGAAGAAACCCATTTGTATGAAGATTTATTACATCCATGACAAACTAATAACGAAGTTAGGCGTATAAGGTGGCAGTCATTATATAGTACCCAATTATTTAATTAAATTTAATATATATTAAACTATTTTTAATTTTGTATATGAAGTGCAACAGAAAAATTTTCATGTTTTAAAGTATGACCAAGCCAAACAAGTTTGAGAACTACTGTTCTAGATCATCCGATAAATGAACAGAATAAGAAATTTTTATAAGCACTTAAAATTCAAATTTTTTTACCAAATATTATAAATTTATAAAAATAAAATATTAATTTATATTTAATAAAAATAAATTATTTTCAAAATCAATTACTTGCAGCAGGATCAACTAGCATTGATACGAATGAACGATAGGTATTCATCTGTGTAACTGGGTCCTGTTGAGTAAGAACTGATGGTACCATTCCAGGCATTTTGACTTTCAGTTCTTATTTAACTTTTCTTTCTTCAATTAACTATTTCTTCTATTATAGTTATTTCTTTATAAAACATCCATCACAACCTATTATAAAATATTTAAAACAGTTTTTCAAGATGTAACAATAATAATATAATCAATTATTTGAACATTATGTATTAGAATGTATAATCAATAGATTTTTGAACTAATTCAATATTAACAAACCATATACAGTTAAACCTCTATATTCGTAATATTCAATATTCGTCACCTTTTGATGACTTTTTTATTTTTCCATATTCGTCAGTATTTCCTGTATTTGTCATCATTCCCAACACTGGAAATGGCACTACAATTGCATGCCCACACTGATCAGCTAGCTGTGTTAAATTAGTGTTGCCAATTTAGCTCATTTTTTGCTAGCTTTAGTGGATGTAAATTACCTAAATTATAATGGCCTAGCTATTTTTATAATGCTATCTAGCTATAAAAAAAATTAACAATTTTAATGGAAACAATATGATTTGAATATTTTTATTAAAATGTCTAGCCATAAATTTGAATTTTGACTTGGCAACACTATGTTAGCTAGCTGTAGTTAATTAGTCTGCTTTGTGGGAAGAAATGTATGTTCTTGGTTTCTCATGTTGATTATTTTCAAAACCTCAAGTTCCAATGACTCCAACAAAGAACACTGAAGAAAAACAGCAAAAAAGGAAAGCTGTTAGAACAGGAATAGAGGTAAAAAAAGAAATTATTGCTAAGTCTGAAAATGGACGAAGTGTTTCCAACTTAGCCAAAGAATTTAATATGCTGAGAACTACCATATGCAGCATAATAAAAAATAAAGAGATGATTAAAATAGCTGATGTTGCAAAAGGTGTTAAAATCCTTGCTGCTAGGAGATCACAAACGATTGACAACATGGAAAATCTCTTATTGTTGTGGATTACTGATGCAAATGGCTGTTGATAGTATTTCAGAAGCAATCATCTGTGAAAAATCTAAGAAGTTATATGACGACCTACAGCAAAAGAGTCCAGGAACCAGTGGTCAGTTCATGGAAAGTAGGGGCTGGTTTGAAAAATTTAAAAGACAAACAGGCATTCACTCTGTAATTAGGCATGGCAAGGCTTCGAGCTTAAATGCAGAAGGTGCTAAACAGTTTGTTGAAGATTTCAGAAATTATGTATACACTGAGGGTTTTAGTCATCAACAAGTTTTTAATTTGTGATGAGACAGACCTATTTTGGAAGAAGATGCCCAAAAGAACCTACATCACAAAAGAGGAAAATACACTGCCTGGACACAAACCAATGAAAGACAGTTTAATACTCATGCTATGTGGTAACACTAGTGGTGACTGCAAAATCAAATCATTACTAGTGTACCATTCAGAAAACCCAAGAGTTTTTAAGAAGAATAATGTCAAAAAAGATAACTAAATGTGATGTGGAGATCAAACAGTAAGGCTTGGATTACAAGACAGTTTTTCTTGGAGTGGATCCATGCAGTCTTTGCCCCAAGTGTGAAAGCTCATTTAGAAAGCCTTAATTTAGCTGTGAACGTCCATCTTAGTTTTGGACAATGCTCCTTCTCATCTTCCAAATTTGCAAGACCTTTTGAAAGATGATGATCTTAGCTTTATTCAAGTTAAATATTTACCAGCTAACACAACCCCTCTAATTCAGCCGATGAATCAGCAGGTCATTACCTGCTTTAAAAAACTGTACACTAAAGCTCTGTTTCAAAGGTGTTTTGAAGTGATGTCGGAAAAAAAACTTACATTAAGAGAATTTTGGAAAGATCATTTCAATATTCTCCATTGTGTCAGAATTATTGATAAGACATGGAAAGAAGTGTCATCGAAGTTAATGATCTTGATCTGGAAGAAACTATGGCCAGAATGTGTGCCAGAAACAGACATTCAGGGTTTTGAATCACAACCTGTTGTTGAAGAAATTGTTTGTCTGGGAAGGTCAATTGGTTTGGATGTTGATTGTGAGGATGTAGAGGAATTGGTTGTGGAGCATGCAAGGAAACTCACCACAGAAGAACTGTTGGAGCTTCGTAAAGACCAAGAAACTGAAACAATAGAGATGATTTTGTCCAGAGAGGAAGAGTCAAGTAAAGGATCCATACCTAACAATGATATTAATGAAATGTTGACTAATTGGGCCAAAGTGCAGAATATGGTTGAAAAATGATACCTAAATGTTGCTATAGTAAACCAAAATACAAATGCATTCAATGATAATGTAATTGCCTACTTCACAAAGGTTTTAAAAAGCAGACAAAAACAGACAACACCGGACAAGTTCTTTATTAAATCAAGTGCTACTGAATCATCAGCAAAACAGGCCCCATAATCGTAATTGGAATTACCTAATGTTTTAATTGATGGTATGTCTTCTTCTAAACAATAATAACCTTACTCTTCTTCCCTTTCTACCACTATACTGTATTTATTTAGTACAATAAAGTTTTACAAACAACATAATTTTTATTCTTGTACCTTTTTTAGGATGGGAACAGATTAATTGAATATCAGTTATTTATTATGAAAAAAATTGTTTCTACATTCATCATATTCCATATTTGTTAGGTCCTTAGGAACAAATTAATGATGAATATAGAGGTTCCACTGTATATCTTAAAGCAAACTTACTAAAATGTATTAATTTGTTAAAATATCATTTGTATTTCTTAATTTAAAGTAATAATTTATATTTATTAATTACATTTATTATTTTTTAATGCATAACTTTGAAAAATAAATGCAATCAATTTTCCCTGTCATTGCTCCTCTTATCTTAGACACTTCTTGGTGGCAATTCTGAGTTGGACACTAAATGATGCTTAGTGAAAGATTTGTTTGCTTGGCCAATAGATAGCACTACAAGGTGATTGTAATTGTAAAGGAAAGGGGATTTGGAGGAAAAGGGGTTCAAGAATAAGATCACGGTGTCTGTATAGATTTTCACACACAGGAAATTACATCACAGAAGGTATGCAAGCTATTACAAGATCACATAACTTTTAAAATCCAAAAATCCTACACATTCATTGCCATAAAAATTAGCACACCAAGGAGTTGTCAAAATTGAATGAAATTATACACGTGTGAGTGTAATGGTAATATAAGTGATTACAAAATGAAAGCAAAAGTATCATTTATTGCAGGAAAAACTACAAATGAAAACAGATTCTAATACCCTGTTGAGCCTCCTCTAGTGTGAATACATGATGTGATACAGGTGAGCATGGAAGCATACAGGTGTCATATGGTGTCCTGCGACATCTTAGTCCACAGTTACTGCAAGTGGTTCTCTAGTTCAGCCAAACTCATAGGCTGTTCAACTTGGTATCCCCAGACATGTTCGATCGGTAACAAATCAGGGACCAGGCAAACCAGAAAAATTTCGCAATGTGGTGACGGCAGTCCTGTAACATCCTTGCTGTGTATGGTCAAGCATTGTCCTGTTGGAAAATGGCTTTTGGGAACTCTGGGGCTGTATTCTGGTCATTGTCTCTCATCTCTCACAAGCTGGTCGATGATTGGCTAATCATTTGTTTACATCTCGAGAGATCATTGCGTCTCTCCAAATGCGATTCTGGACAACTTTTTCTCTCAAAGATGAGCAGATATTTGTCTTTTGATCTGTCTTTCATCTTTTGCCTCGACTGCATTATATCCAATATGGACAACTGGATGCTACTCGTGCTGTACAATCATATTAGAGAACATTCTCTATCTCAGAAAAGAATATTTTGAGAGAGAAAATGCTGATTTTTTTCCAATGCCTACTCGGAAACACAACTGATTCCATTTTTTTTTAATTATCCTACATCAATTACTGAACTATTGAATATGATGTTAATCTTAGATAGTTAAGGAGAAATTAGATGGTAATATTTCGAAAAATATCTAAGTACATACGCTTTTCTAACTTAGGTTATTAAAATTTTTATTTGTTAAGGGACAAATTGGCATTACAATCTGTAAAAACATTATAAAACAAAAAACATAACTTCCTCAAAATTACATGCTTTCCTTGCCACATGATCTATAATTACGTACTCTGCATTTTCGAAAATTTTACAATTTCATTGGTTAAAATTCATACTGTGTTGCGCGCTTGGATAACCCAAACATGTATAATCAACCTAGTACAGGGGTCTGCAACCTTTTGAGTCGGAAAAGCCAAAAATTACAATTTACAAAATTTCAAAGTTTTTAAAGAGCCACAAAATTTTTTCTTGCCAACAATAAATAGTACTCGCATAAATAAAGTTTTTGATAAAAAAAAAAACTAATCTATTTATTCAGAATTGTCTTGCATCGAAAGCGAATTAAACCTCATAGAAACATCCGACGACGGCGTCATTCGAGAGCTTCCGACAGACTGACGACAGTGACGACGTGTGTCACGGGGGAGGGGTACGATGAAAAGCGAGTACAAGTGGCTGAGAGATAGAATCGGTGCCGAATCCTCGTTAATCGATTCAGAACGATTTTTAAATGTTTTTTTTTTAATAAAAAAAATAATATTTGCATATGGAACTAAAGAGCCGCAGGTTGCCGACCCCTAACCTAGTAGAATTATGATGTCATCAACGAAGATGAGATTGTTAAAAGTGACCAGAATCACCACTGTCCCTGAGAGATGAATTTCGTCTCTCGTTTTAACATCATTTGTCCTTGAAAGAAGAGACGAGAGATAAGTGACCAGAATAAGGGCCTGCTATGAGATACAACACATGTGAATGCAGGATGTCACTAGCATACTACTGGATTGTCATGGTCCCTTAGACTACTACTACAGGTGACCAGCAGTCATATGTGATGGCACCCCAGACCATTACACCAGCTGTGGGGGCTACGTGATGCTCCAAAGTATAGGTAGGACTGAGGAGTTCTCCAAGGGACACAACATAGCCCATCAGTGCCCAAACACACACAAATACAGCTGTCATCAGTGCCAAAACTGAATCTGGATTCATCACTGAAGATGATCTGGTTCCATTCTGTTGCAGTCCAATTCCATCAGGAGTGACACCACTCCAAACAGGCAACAGTGGATGGTGTCAAAGGCAGCACACTTAATGGCTGCT